GCTGAGCTCCTTCTGGAAGGTGCAAAATAAGGGGGGGTTCTGTGGAGTGTTTTCTGTCAGCATCTCATTTCTGCTTAATTCCTACAAATAACTGACAAGCACAATTAATATGACAAAATATAAATATTTATGCAGTCGTTTAGCTAACGTTTGGCTCTATTTATAAATAAGAGCATCTTGCAAGAGCTTTGGTGAGGTAAGTATCCCCAGTGCCGGTGTGTGAAATTAACTGTGCTCCATCGAGTCTTAGGTAGTAACTAAAGAGAGTAAGTTTGGTGGGAATAACTTAAATACTTAAACTTCAGCAGAACAAGAAGCTGTTGTTTACTTTGTTAGTTGATGGGGGAAAGAAGATAAATCTAGTTGTTTTTACCATTAATTTCAGTTTTTAACTGTGTAGTTATTGTAGTGACATGAAGGGTAATAGGAGAGTAGAGCAGCCCCATACTAATGTACTGGTCTTAGGGTTAATTTCTATTTGCTGACTTTTCTGATGCGACTAACAGGAAATTGTGTCAGACCCAGGTCTAGTTCAGGGTTTGATTTTTTGCAAATCAAGATGCAGTCTATGACTTCTGATGAATCCGTGAGTTCTGATGAATGAGATTTCTAGTAGTTCTGCCTGTAAGAAAGTAAGAAAGCTTTTGTGATCTTTTAAACTAACATGTTTTATTATGCACTTTGCATACTTGATTTAACATATGATTATTCTCTTGATCGACTTTGTTGATGGCATATCAATCTAAGTTGGCTGGATTTGACACCTACGTCTTGAATGATAAAAGAGTATTTTTCTTCTGTTAAGAAGCAATAAATTATTGTGCACGATATGGCACGATGGATTCAAACCACTTCAAAGTGTGTTTCGTCTCATGACTTGATGGCTCAAAACAAAATAATAAAATTGTAGTAAAGAATTGAGGCCCAAGTCTAGCAATTCATATTTGCTTTTCTAATTTTTTTCATTTGTTATTGTCATAACGTATTTCTCAGTTAACTTTCTTGAGGGTAGAATCTTGAAGTAGGATTCCATAATTCTAGGTGATGAAGAGACACAGAACTGAGAAGACAGCTCCTGTCCCAAGTCGTGAAAGTGAATTAGGTCAGAGGATGCCAAAAGTGAGCTGTGAGCTGTGTGAGGGGCTGACTCAAGGTGATCAATCTTGCTATCCTAGGTGGATGTCTGTCCTAGGCAGGCAGCAGAATTTATGAGGAGCCAGAAAGAAATCTTGCCAAAGGCCTCATCCTGCACCCTGTGAGGACAGAAACTACGGTTTCCTCAAGAACTGTTTGGACCTGTTTCACAGGAGTCAGATTTCTTTTCCTGGAAGTGGAAGCTGAATATTAACCTGTGGTGTGAGATTCTGAGCCCATCAGGGACCTGGAGTCCCAGGAGCGGCAGTGCAGCTCCCTGCCCTTCCCTTCTGTGTGTGTCTGCTTCTAGAGTTTGGGGGTCACATTTATTCCTGTCTGTGTTTGGGGATGAAGACAATAAATCACATTTATATGAGCTAAGGGAGTCAGCTCCAGTCTTGGTTTGCAGTAGCAATTTGTCTCTTTTCTTGCATGATTTTAGGTGTGCAGAGTCCCTTCAGTTAATTAAAAGATTGACTTAGTCATATGCAGCCAGCGAACCATAGGCAAAACCTTCAAAGTGTGAATTCTATGCAAGGAGAAAGATATTTTTAAATATTTGTTCACAGAAAATATTTCTCGGTTGCTGCCACCTATTTTGTTCAAGTGGATCCATGGCTGGTTTTGCCTTCCCTTCAAAGTCTATCAAGTAAATAGTCTTTAAAGTCAGCTGAGGGAAGGAAGAAAATAATTCTCTCTTATATCAGGTATGTAACAGAAGAGTACATGGAAATACACTTTCTGGTGGTTGTGTCAGCCAAAAGACAATAAGAATGCCTTTTTTTGGGGTGCTCTAAAAGACAAAAGCCTGCTAAGAGTGGCATTTGGCTCATAGCACACCAGATGAAAACTGGGCGGTGGCAGCATAGGTGGAAAGGTCAGGAAAGAAAGAGAGAAAAATTATTTCATTTGGAGGTGAAGATCATCTGAAATAAGTGATTTCACATTTAAAAGGCTGCCAAGGAGAAAATATATGAATGTTAACATATTTTTTTATACTGGTTTATTTCAATCTGTTTTCTTTTCTCATTTGTAATGCTTACGCATTCAGGAAGTTGAGGTAGGTTTTTCACTTTTAACTTGTAAATATCCGTACAGTGAACCAAAGTATTTACAATATACCATGATTCATATTATACTTTAAACACTTACGATCAACTGTTAATACTGTTACAAATGAAATGTATTGCTATGTGTTAATTATTAATGTGTTAATATTGATTTATTAACACCTTAATATTAAAATGATGTAATAGTTTCATATGTTACAACAGGCATAAGGTGTTTCAACCACATTAGTTCCTGTCCTAGTAGAAAGCTCAGAAATGGATAGATTTCTGTGCAGTTGTTTTTGTCAGGAAGGTGGGAATGCTAAATCGCTTTAATCAAGCTGATCATGCTTCTTATACATATATATGTATATATATAGCAATATACACTTGGGAATCGGTGTCATGTGTAGGCACTGTATGTGGCTGTATCATCATGCCGTTATTCTGCTGGAGGAAGTTCTAGCGAAGTGATGGCATCCCTTTGGAGATGCTACGAGTCCCTCCTCCTAACAAAAGCCATTTCAGGTTAATGTATAAATTTCAGCACCTTGCAGAATCCTCGTGCAAAGCCCTGTCTCAGCTTTAGGAGGTATTTAAATGAGACACAGACTTTCTGCTCAGCCGTATCTACAGGGGGAATTTCACCTTTACGGCGCCATAACCACTCAGTCACAATTCTTGCTGGTATCAACGCTGAAGTGAAACTCCAGCGCTGCATTTGCTCTTGTCCAGCTGGCATAAGTTATTCTGAACTGCTGTTGACCCTATTGCTCTAGCGAATGTATAGTCATTATTTACTCCTATGAATAATAATGAGTTTTATGTATTGAAAGTCTCAAAGGTTTTTCTCTGTTTTACTTTTCAGGTTTTTTTTTCCATATTTCTTCTTGTGTATTTTCCTGTGTTATCACATTGTAGTTTCAGGCATATTCTAAAATAAATATAGTTTCAATTTTCAAAAAGGGATACTAAACAGGTCTGCATAAAGGAGGAAAGGAGAAAGAGTAGATTTACTTAAAGAGATCGGTATTTTGTATTTTTTTTGTGAGGAAGGTGTGTTTTCTGTAAAATATTCCTTTGACACTGAAATTGAGATAAACCCCCGTTCCAATCCTTATTTCAAAACCGGTTCCATATGCCAACAGCATAAGAAATCTTTCTCGGGATTTGAATTATTTAACAGTTTCTGATGCTGAAAACCCAGCAGCAAACCTCAGGAAAAAAACACGTAAGCAGTCAAAAAAAGAATATTTTATTGCGGGAAAAATTTATTCTGCTCAAAAAGCTTAAAACCCAACACATTCTGAAACGTGATTAATGCTTGGTGAATTTAGTCGTACATCATAATCAATTACAAAGCATCGTATTACCATGAGGGCTTTTTTGTATTAACAAAGCTGGGGAATTCAAGGCAAGACAGTGATTCTGTTTCTGGAGCCAAACCCTCTACTTCTGAAGAAGAAGTACGGATACATTTGATGTATCTGAAATGAATTATAAATAATAATCTTTGTTGTTATTGTGGAACATTGTCGCTGCCCGTGAAGTCAGTATAGACTCCATCAGAGAGGATCGTGGTGCCATGAGATGCATCTCCTGGTGCTCAGTGAGGGATGTGCTGGCTTCCAAATCTCCAGAATTTTCCAGATTAGAATGACTGGATAGCATGGGAGCATGTGGAATTCACCGTGCTGGACATAAATGGTAAACAGAGCCCCATGGAAGAAATAATTTAGGTGTCTTATTCACACTGATGGATTTTTGGTTACCTCCTGGCAGGAAAAAGAAATCTAGGTGTCATTCTGGGCATCTTGATAAAGATATCTCTTCAGTGGCAGGCCTCAGGAAATTAATATAGATTAATGGATATATTAAAAAGAAAATAAAGATTAATATGCAGAAAAATACCACAGTGTTATAGAAACCTTCCATGCTTCCTCACTTCAAATACATTATTATTCTGTTATGTCTTCTCAAAGAGGACAGAAGCGAGATATACAGAATATGCTGAAACTAAATATAGCAGTTGGACTTAAATCCCAGTTCTTCAGGACTAGGGTTGTTGACACTTGGAAGTGGGCGAAACTTTGCCTTCAGGTACATACTTGCTAAAAACATAGAATAAAAATTGATCTGACGTGGGAGAGTTCTTCATTCTTTCTGCAAAGAGACCCGTTTTCAACAGCATAATTATTTGGCCAGACACTCTCACAGATCCTACCTTCTCCATTTTAAAGTCCAATCAGAATTATATAAAACAGAACCACAGGACTCCCAGCAGAATAATATCTTTACATCACAGTTAAGAAGACTTAAAAAATTTAATAATGGGAACGGTGACAAAAAATAATCACTGCAAATTCTCCTGGATGTTATTGTATTTTAAGTACAAGGCTTACGGTGTTGTTGCTGTGTGGTGTGATTTATGTGTGTCCAAATGGATATCAGTATTTTTGGGTTTACTTTGCTGAACTTTTGCCACACCAGAATGGTGTGAATCATGTTAGGCTATCTAAACAATAGGCTCTTGCCTGATTAGAAATGATTCAAAGTTATTAGGAAGTATGGGCATCCTTTGAAAAACAGTGCAGAAGAAAAAATTTGAGGGTCTGAAAGGAAGGAATTTTTTATTCTTTAATTTCTAGCCTGCATTTACCACCCTTTAGAACACAGCCTGTTGATAGTCTTTTGGACTGCATATGCTAGGTTCAAAAGCTGAGTTGATTCATGTGTTGTTTAGTTATGTAAAATTGCACGGAAAAGACTGCTTATATTTTTCCTGAGTTTCCTTTTTTTTTTTTCCTCCCCATTTAGGATGATTATTTCAGAAACTGGAATCCAAACAAGCCTTTTGATCAAGGTAAAGTTAGTTCACGTTTTGTGGTTTTGTTCTGCTTTTTTGTGATATCCCCATATATCTAATGCCTTTTTTCCACTGTCCATGCCATGCGTTAGTGAAGATCTGTATTCATACTTACATCTCATTCCCAATTTAGTCACAGCTTGAGGTGCTTTATGTTTGAGTCATCTCTGTATTTTTCAACCACATTTTTCTATCCCAATCCATTCCAGTTTATATTTAAGGATGATATATATGCTTAGGAAGATTCTCTATAACCATGAATCGCAGTCTGACGTGCAATTTAAGACAGGTATCTTCACAAACACTTTCTTTCATGTTAAAATCTTTGTTAAATGAATGTTGTAAATGTAATTACTGCAGCCACTAACACTGAAGGAGCCTGTTCTTTGAAGACAGTTGTAACATATGAAATTAAGGGCTGTTGTGTATATGCAGCTGATTCAGCTACCAATTCTGTAAATCACATTTTGCACTTTGTCTTGGTAAGCTGTTATGGCAATACTTCAACAATTTCCAGGCCAGACACCAAAGGAAAGGAAAAAAAACCAACAAAAAGGAAATTTTAATTTTTGTGTCCAAGGTAACACTGGAAGCAATAGCCATGCCAGGAAAAAGAACTTTGAATTGACATCTTAAAAGCAACTCCACATCAAGCATTCTCTGCTTGGTGTTCATAGCTAGCAGGAAACTTTTCAAGTAGGATGGTAAGAGACATTCACTCTAAATACCATAGATGAATATCGCTGGAAATAATAGTAGCCCTGATGTTACTGGATGTGATGGGCTGTATTTGATATTTAATGTCTCGTCAGTAGAAAACATTGTATGCAATGAAATCTCAGCAGTCTGTCCTCTGAAAGACAGGTACAAAAGTAGTGCAAGCTGATAGCGTGCCATAATTTTGTCTGTAAAATCCGAATATCGTACTTTACCTTTGCTGTCTGTTTTATTTGTCACTCTGACTCTAAGATTCTATAACAGAGCACACTCAAAAAGGGTAATATGAAACCACTTGGGTCTTATATTTCATTATTTCCTAAAGCTTTCTGGAATGTATTTTTTTCAAGACAAATGTTAAAAATTGCATTTCACACAGCTCCTTTTCCTTTGGTAGAACTGTTACCAGCCGTTTGATTTGTGGAGGATAACAACAGACAATATAAAGTGCGGGTCAGTTCTCTTCTCTGTTTGCCTTTTGGCACTTGCTCATTTTTTCCTGTTTGTAAAGTTCAGTGGAGCTCATATAACTCCTCCTTGAGGACACATATGAAGTGAGGATATTACAACTGTAAAATCACAGGTAGATGGTAGACTTTTTCCATTGCCCAAGGCATTTTTCAGGATCCTGGATTTCTTTGACTAGCTTTGCTTCGTTATTCAACATCCTGCCTCTTCAACTGCAGAATGCCAGTGTCCCAGAATTTCATTCAAAATAGCATTCTATAAGTTTCGATCTACTTCTGCGCTGAAATTTGTAGGGGTTTTAAAAGGTGCTATTGAAAAGTCATTTAGAAAGGAATAATCCTGTACATGGTAATTACGATACAGATTAATTTCGGTCATGTGTATCTGTTTCACAGTCCTCCCCTCTTTTGGATCCTGTATTCCAAGTGAAGTGGCATTCAAGTAGCGTGTGAGACTTCCTTTGCCCTTCAGAATGTGAGGTGCCTAGTTGGGTATATAATTGTTGTGAATTTACATTCAGAGGAGGTTTTCCCACAAGCAAACTGCTTAGGCAAATTATTGAGCAGGCCGGTAGCTCTCCCAGCAGGGAGTTCATGGTAAAACAGTCGCGGTGTGGTACTCAGAAGGGAACACCTCGCTGAAATGTGTGCAGTCTTCTTCAAGCATGGCTTATGCCTGGTGTCACTGGGAGTTAACCAGAGAATAATGGTTGGAGAATATTAGACAGTATCAGTGTTGCAGGAGGTGCCCAGTAGTTTAGTTGCTAATTTTTTAATAGCTGCTTAAAGAAAAAAGGCAAGTCATGTTACAGAAAAAAACATCTTTATGCCTCTGGAAATCAACTACTATGAAATTATGTTTGTGAATCATACCACAAATGAGAAGGAAGAGGGAATCGGTTACGAAGGACAGGGAAAGGCATGAACAAATAGATGAGGGGGTAACTAGATAAATGACAGGCCAGTGGAGGAGATGAAATGACAACGCTTTCTTTATTCGCTTTCAATTTGAGCTTTGTCTGTCATTTATTTTACAAACAGGAGTCATAAAAGGGAGCAGCTTTGCCAACCAGAGATTGGAATCTTCAGAACTGCTAAACTGTTTAGGCATAAAATACCCACACGAAGTCTCTGAAGGCTTTTGAAAATTTCACTGTATATCTATTTCTGTATTTCATTGCCGGACGTGTTCTGTGCAGTGTCTGTAGGTAGGACAGGAATATCGTAGGGTTGGCAGTATCGTAGGTAGGCAGCAATATCGTTGGGGTCTTACACGTTAGAGCTGAAGAGTGTAGATTCTCTGTCTTTATGGAAATGGAACTTCAGTGACAAAGGAAAGGGAGAGATGATGTTTTTGTCAAGGCATATATCCACAGAGATTTTCCAACAGCATTTGAGGGATTTAGGACTACAAATCCTATTGACTTCAAATGGAATTTATGCTCCTACCACTTTCAGAGGCCTTGTGACCCTCTTTCTTCCCAAGAGGAAAAGCAAAAAGGTGAATCCTGGCAAAATACTGCAAAAAGATTTTGAACTGACATGCTTTAAAACTGTCTTGTTCATTGTGTTGCTGAGATGTCTGACTCGGGGCGAAAACACAAATCGTTTCAAAGAATCTAAAATCACACGTGGATACCTTGAAGCGATAAAACCAGTCGTATATCTGTTAAAAGATTTCTGTCTCTTTACAAAGAAAAGGATTATTTCTCTTTCAGTGTAAAGTTTCTCCAAGACTATGGATAGTCTGTCATGAGAAAGCAGAACGCGGATGAGGCGATGCAGGCTGGCTCGCGCAGAGATCTCTGCGCTGCTTTTGTCTCATTTAAATCTTACAGATGGATTCTGTTTGGCCAAGAGGTCATTCTTTTTGACAAAAAGGTCTCTACTCTGGGCTGTGGTAGAATTTACCCTAGAACTTTAAAATAGCCTCTCGTACCTTTCTAAAGAGATTTCTTACACAAAAAGAATTGCCTTAGAAAACTGTTGCTTAGTTTACATCTTTGTGGAGTATGTGAGCCAGTAGCCAGTGGGCTCTGTGTTTTTGTCACAAAAAAAAAAAAAAGAAAATAAGAGAAATCACATCACGCTGCTGCTTTCAGCCTTTTGAATCAGATGCTGACAAGACTAATCCTCAGTTTACATATGTAAATGTGGATATGCTATATGCATGTGTATATAGAGGCAGTACCACTGAAATAGGAAGTGATGAGACTAGGAAGGAAGGGATGCTTTCTTCCTGTTTTCCAGGTGCTTTCCACCTCAGGTTTAACTTCTGTTATTTTCGGCAGAGGTAAAAAATAGTCAGATGAATTTGTCCTAGACCTTTTATGTGGTGCAAGCTGCAAGGAAAGTGTTTAACCCATCTTTAGTCTTTACTTCTCTGTCCTCCCTACCTTGACAATTATTTCCATGTTGTTTCTTTTTTCTTTGAGATATTTAAATATCCCCTGTGCTCTTGCGTGATTTTGGACATAGAAAAGCTTCCATTTTCTATTCTTTGGGGTTCTTATATCCAGATACTCTGTGGTAAGGATCCTTAGCTTGCTCTGTGAACTCAGTAACAGCTCTATGTTCTCACCACACATGTCACTTTGAGAGGTGTGTCAAAGGCAGACTTTAACCTCACAAAACCAAGGTTCTTCCTAAAATGATTGAAGAGGAAAAGCTTATCCAGAGGGTCAGTGAAAGCGGACAACTCCCTCTCTCACTAGGTTCTGTGGGAAATCTCAGTCTAGCATCACTAATCTGAGGCTAACGTGTGAATACCCACTCTTGGGACAGATTTACAAATTTTTAATGTTTAAAATCTATTTCTCAATTCTATACCTAAACTCATGGTTGAATATTCTTAATTGTGAAGTATATATGTGGAAGCCAGACTGTAGAATCAGTGAAGGAGGGCAGGGTTTAGAAGTAACCGAAGGGGGCTAATACCTGCCAGGAGTGATTTTTCAAAGGCAGCTGGAGGATTGAATAGGTTTAACAACTTTAAAAATGGACAATAGTCAGAGGTTTTGAAAATTGACAGAATTCGGCTTCTAAGTTTGTACTTAATTTGCATTTTTGAAAGAAGAGTCCACTGGGTCCAAACAACTCTATGATTTTTTTCTTAACTAAATAATTCAATCTAGCTTTTTTTTTTTTTATGTATTTAAAACCAGTAGCAGCATAATCAAGCTGTCCACCTTCTGCTTTCAGTGCAGAGTGAAATATCTGCATGCGTGTGTCAAGAAAAAAAGTATCTTGTTTAGTAAACAAGCATACATGACTTTCACTGAAATAACCCCTAGAGAAGTCACACCAGGTATCTTTGCATAACTAGTCTTTTTGGAAGTCAACTTGAATGGTTCAGCTGTGTCTCAGAGGGTACTTGGGTGATCAGAGTTTATTTTTAGCTTAGCTGCCAGCCCAGCTTTTTATTCATCTTGAACCCAGGAGAAACCTATAAAAAGGTGAGCATCTTACCTCGACTGCCGAGCTAACGAGGCGTTCGGTTTGCAGAAGGCAGGAGAGCGTAGAGCCTGAAAATGATTGTTGGTCATTAATATTGAACTCGATTCTGTCAGAGTTGCGGAAGAGTGGAAAGGGCAAGTTAGTCAGGATTTTAAAATATGAATCAAAGGGTTGTGTTTGGGGATTTTTTTTCTTTCTGGCAAGGTCATCTGAGAGTTCTTAAGGAGCTTGACAGCTAACTTGACATACTTTCCTATCTTCTCCATCTACACTGCAGAAGGAAAAGAGGGAATCAGGGAAAAAGTTTAGCATAACATTCTCAAGTCAGAGACTTTTGGTATGATAATTAAATGTTTC